ACATAAACATTTGCATGGAATCCTATTTCACTTTTTATACACCAAAGTATATTTAGAAATATATACATAATACATTAATGTTGAATTTTAAGAAAAAATACGTTTTTTTCAATAATTGGCCTCTATTTGTAGGATGGGGAAGAAAAAATTTAAAGTATTATAAAATATGTTCACCCATTTATATGTTGAAAACTGAAATTAGGCCTTGACGAGTCATGTGAAATGGGTTCGTTTGACTGTGACATAGCAGGGCTTCTGTACGATGTAGTGGCTAGTTAGCGCGATAAATTATCGTTATATTATTATTACCTACATAGTTATTACATCGCTATAATTATATATAGTACATTTTCGTTTTACGTTTAGCGGTAGTCGTGGGAATATAAAGTATTAGGTGTAGTACTACTGAGTAGTTGTTTTTGCAAGAAAACAAAAATCGCGGAAATAACCGAAAAGAAAAAGGGTTATACTATTTACCGTAGACGTAGCAACAGCCTACAGTCACAACGCCGGTGGCCGTAGTTCCAGAAAAGGGTTAAATAATGGGTATAAAACGCTGTATGCCCGGTAAAAATAATTATTTTATTGTCGCCGCCGCCACCACCTCTACGTGGGAAAAAATTAAAACATTTTTTTTTCACACATACCTATTTCTTTAGAAATTCAGAAAGGGCTTTTTTTTTAAGCGCATTTCTGGGAAACTATAATATTATACATACATCAAAAGACCGCAACATGCAATATATTATGATTATACACATAGGTACAAGTATGACCGTTTGTCGCAATCGTATTGTACACACCGTTTGATATTATATATATTAATGACTTAACAATAATATAATATTATACCTACGTATTACATATTATATAACGCAATTCACGATTTTCGCACGCACACTACACTATCGGTTCATGCACATTCATGTATATACCTAATTGTTGTGTAGCATGTGCTGTATACATATGTATCTACAAATGTTCTATTTAACGGTTGTACTTAATATGACCACATTTGCTATAACTGGTCCCCATACAATATAGGTATTAATACGACTTATTAAGGCTACTATTCTCACTGTACCGTTATTTCTAGAAATTTATGGTAAATTATTAAACTCCATGAAATGATTTATAAACGTTTGTATTGATACATCGCATCAATGTACCTATATGTACATAGTTTAATGCAATGCTGCGTCCATGTAAATTTGAGTAATATCTTCTATGAGAAATACCTATGATAAATTGATTTGTTCGCAGGTTTTAGGGCGATAAGGAACACTCTGTTTATCAAACAATAATATTTTATATATACACTCGCGAAATGAGGGCTCTCGTCTCCGTATATATCATTATATTTTATTATATTACATACCCGAGTGTATAAACGCTATTAAATCAATTATCTATTGTGAGGATCCGCGTCCAATATCCAAGTGCATGGCGCGTGTATATATGCAATATAGTGTCAGTTACGCGTATTATGTAATATAGGTAGGTATATTATTGTATACTATATAATATTATATAGGTACGCACTTACACGCACGATGACAATATAACGTTGAAACACTCCTCGTTTTTAGGGGCGATGATGCGCTGCTCGTCCCCTATCTGCAAGAGCAAGGGGTACGTATAATATGTCGGAAAAGACTACGCACGGACATAATAATGTAGAGGTACACACTACACATATAGCTGCTGTAATGTCATCGTCGAGCGTCGGAAACGCGCTGCGGCAAAACACAGCTGCTGTGCAAATATTATTATCTCCGCGACGTCGTCTGTCCATTTACAATATATAATAGGCTTATACACTTTATATACAGGGTGATTCACCAAGCGTGCTCACTCCCAGATTTTTGACAATGAATTTATTCAAATCTAATTTTCTTAAAAAAGTTCAAAAACCATATTCTTAAATTCTTAAATTTATTTTTGTGTTACGTACTTAAGAAGTGTCTTGAAGCAAATCAATTTTCTAATTTTCAAATTAAAATCCTCTTTTTTTACTGTAAATTATATTTTATTGAAAAATAATTTGTGTACATACCTAAATCAAAATTTGAACGAGCAGATTTTCAGTTATTAAAATGTTTATAATATAAATATTTAAGTCTTTGACGATCATTTTTACGAAAATATAAAATAGACATTTTATTGATATATATATTATTTTTGATTCACCTTTTACATCTTCCAAATTTTTGATCGCGTAAACATATTATCCATAGTTGGTACACAATATGCGAATTTAAAATAGCTTAAAAAATATTCATTGGAAGCTTAATTTTGATTGGTGCATCAATATTTTCAAAAAAATCATCCACTAAATAATTTTTATTAAAAACTTGGATTCTGGTTTGAAACTAAAGCTTGTATCGTCGCGCATGACACTCCTTAAGTAGTACAAAAAAATCTAAAAAATTTTAAATTACGGTTTTTAAAGATATTTGAAAATTCCAAATATCAAATTTTGTATAACTGCATTATTGAAGAAATAAAAGGGGTAGACGTGTTTGATGAATCACCCTGTTTAGGTATATATCTTTTATACACGCACGAGCGAGAGCCCATCAGCGACAATAGAACAAATGAATGTATTTTGTTTGTTTCGGGTTCGGGTCGTCGACGCCGCCGTCATTACGGACCGACGGGTGCTGTGCTTGCACAGATAATAATAATGTCTTTATATACACAGTGCGTGCACAAACACACATACTATTGACATGATAATACAATGAGTGTGTATGTGTGTGTGAATGTGATGGGGTGGTGATGGGTAACCTGCAGTATATTACTATACTCTCTACCCACAACCGGCTCCGTCCTGCCTTACATAGGGTGGTACCGCAGAAAAAAATAAATATAATATATTATAATAATATATGCGCGCGCGAGATCGAGTCGAGGGGCACTACAGTGGCGGCGGCGGCGGCTGCAGTGAATAGACGCGACAACAATGACCCTGGAGGAGATGAGTACTTACACGTACGTCGGTGGTAGTACCCAAATAATATTAATAAAATTTATTATTATACACACATTGTATATATGTATATAATGTTGAGCCCGAAGTGCATTTACAAAAGAACCGGTGTGCCGTATGATTATTATCGTTGCAGTTGTCAGTGTTGATGTCGTTGCCGTCGACACCGCGTCGCCGACGTTTTCGTCGTAAAGGTCCATAAAAATAATAATAATATCACATTTTATTGCGATTGTATATAAGCTTATTATACAAATATTTTATGGAGGTATGTATAGGTTCTACATGATGATGTGTATGGTCAGTGAGCATCGAGTACGACATCCGGGGTTGATGGTAGCGGCCCGTTCCCAAACACGTGGAGCGATTTTACTGTAGACGAACACTAATCGATTCCGACCGATAACGCAAAACCAGCAGACTGTACACGGCAAGACACGCCGCGTCGTTGGACATGGGCCGCAGCGAAAAAGGAACCTTTTTTTTCGGAACGCGTTAGTGTTATTGAAAATAACAAATAATTATTATTACTTATAGGTACCTGTTGGCTGCTACTAAATATTATACAGCGATGCCGAGTGTCTGAGATTCATTTTCGGTGAAATTCAAAGATATATTTTACTTCTAAACAACCAAAGTAAATTTCATAATGTTTTCAGCATGCCAGAAGGCGTAGTGGTGGCGCTGTCGCGCTGATGAGAATTTAATATATAGATTATAATATGGTGACAAATAGTATTTATACAAGCCAATCTTAAGAAAATGAAACGGTCACGCTACAGCGAACAGGCGTACTCTTACCAATAATGTGTCTTAAGGGTTATGTGTTTAATATTTCTTTTATTTACCACCATTGAGGTTCTATGGTTTGAATGTTTGAGTATTCGCTACACTTTGAGGATCAATAAAAGTCACCTTAGTGGTGTTATGAGATTGGTAATAGTTAATTGTTTTATAGATAATTTGTGATCACGTAATAATTTAAGTACATTCAAAATAAGCTGGTTAAGTTTTGTTCTGTACAAACATTGGCTATAACAAAAAATATTCAATATTACACTTTAATATAATATAAATTCAATGATTAAGCCATTATAATTTATAAATGCAATATTTAATCATTATCTATAGTAATATAAATTTTAATAATTTGTAACTATTATATTATTATTGTTTTCTTAATCTTTTGTATATCTTCTAAATATATCATAAAAAAGAAGTCCTGGCTGACTGATTCATAATCAATGTTCAGTCAAAACTACCAAGTTGATTCAATTGGAATTCTGAGGAAATTTATGTATTGCTATGTATAGACACACTAAGAAAGTGTTTTCTAAAATTCACGTTCTATAAACGAGTTTACGTAAATATAATAAATGCAATTAGTTTAATGCTATTTATTTAACTATTTTAGCTAACAATGTAACTAAATATTTAAAGTGGTAGATAATATACTTAGTGGCTAGCTGATGGCTAGATTACATTTTGGATCAGTCCCAAAATAATTAAATTAATTAGTTCACTGTTTAATATTCTATGTTAAGTAGTCTCAAGAATATAGATAAATGGGTGGAGTTTGAAATTTGTATACATGCTATACTGCTATACGTTATACAGACCGCATATTATTATTAACTAGCAAATCAGATGCCTAGTAAACGTCACCTCATCATTTTACGATATGTAGGTATAATATTGAACCGGTACTTACTAACACTACAATTAATTATGTGTGCAAACTGGCATCCCCAGAAAACGAGAAAAAAACAGTCGGAGACACGTGTAACGAGACTGCAACGATTCGCCGATGTTGAGTTTCTGTGGAACGCCGCGGATGACTGATGAGACGACCTTGTCGCGCGCACGCGTGCCGCCGTCTTGTATGCACATGTCGTCGTTATTCATCTATGATGGTGATAGCCCATACGGAGACGAGAATCAAATTACGAAACTAGGAAATGGGCACGATATATATAATTTTGCCATTTTAATA